TGAGGCAGGAGACTAGCTTGAGCCTAGGAGTTGGAGGTTGCTGTGAGCTGTGATGCCACAGCACTCTACCCAGAGAGATAGCTTGAGGCTCTGTCTCAAAAAAAAAATAAAAAGAAGCAAAACTGTACCTGAAGGTCAGGGACAATTTGAAATATATTCAGGTATGTGAGAAATTCAGTTACTAGATAATAAGGACAAGTATTCATATTAAAGACTGATCCCATAATTTTTATCAGCAAAAATCTACTCAGAATGGAGTTTCATATCAAAAGAATATTTGATGTGCTTCCAAACAGTTGCTCAAATGCACAGAGAGCCCAGCACAACCCTACTTGATTACTTATAGTTACTGCCTTTTGTTGTTCTCACTTATGATTGGAGGGTCATTCTGGTTCCAGTTTTAGGGTTAACTATAGCTCCAGTCCCCTCAATCTTCATCCTTTCTCAACCCAAAGCATCTGGCATGGCTTTGAAATTTAATGGAAAAATAATGACCTTTCCATTCACGTGTTCTATTCTCTTGGCCCTTTCCTTCATCTCTGTATACGCTTGGGTTTGGAGCTACTGATTGTATGTATTTTTCCACAGTTTTGCTAGTTGGAATTTTTGATACTTTCTCTTAGTACATTTAGAATTATTTACTGAACATAAGACCTCAAATCCTATTTTCCCATACTTATATAATCACACATACACATACTTATGTTCTTACCTTTCACCAGGTATTGTAAATCATTAAAGATACATTAATAAACATATGTAGAAAGTTGTGAGGTTTATAGAATTCCTTATCTCTATTAGTAGGTTGAAATTCAATAGCTTTCTTTTACTGAGCAACACAAGTAAACACAAAACGCAAATTACTTGCACTGCTCAGTAAATGAAAGCTATTGAATTTCAACCTACTAATAGAGATAAGTAGAGAGTAATAGAGATGCCAGATTCAAGGTTATTCTTACAATAACACTACACTCACATCTAACACTTACGTGCATGAGAAAAAAATGTGAACCAAAAATTATGAAGCAGTCCAGAAACATCTATGGTATTCAATCAAACTCAGAAGTTTGAGGTTACAGTAGGCTATGGGTCACTGAACTCCAAGCTGGGCAAGAAATAAGACCCTATCTATTGGCTCACCGCCTGTGGCTCAAGTGGCTAAGGTGCCAGCCACATACACCTAAGGTGGCGGGTTTGAATCCAGCCCGGGCCTGCCAAACAACAATGATGGCTGCAACCAAAAAATGGCCAGGCGTTGTGGCAGGCACCTGTGGTCCCAGCTACTTGGGAGGCAGAGGCAGGAGACTCACTTGAGCCCAGGAGTTGGAGGTTGCTGTGAGCTGTGATGCCATAGCACTCTACCCTGGGGGACAGTTTGAGGCTCTGTCTCAAAAAAAAAAAAAGACCCTATCTCTTAAATGAATTAATTAATTAATTAATTTTTTAAAATGTTCAAAACTCCCCATCAAGAAAATAATTCAATTTTTAAAAATGGGCAAAAGATCTGAATAGTCACTTCACTAAAGGAGATGCACATCGGCTCAGCACCTGTAGCTCAAGTGGCTAAGGCGCCAGCCACATACACCAGAGTGGGCGGGTTCAAATCCAGCCCAGGCCCGCCAAACAACAATGACAACTACAACCAAAAAATAGCTAGGCGTTGTAACTTGCACCTGTAGTCCCAGCTACTTGGGACGCTGAGGCAAAAGAATCGCTTAAGGGGCAGTGCCTGTGGCTCAAGAAGTAGGGCGCTGGCCCCATATGCCAGGGATGGCAGGTTCAAGCCCAGCCCCAGCCAAAACTGCAAAAAAAAAAGAATCGCTTAAGCCCAGGAGTTGGAGGTTGCTGTGAGCTATGATGCCACACCTCTCTACCCAAAGCAACAGCTTGATGCTCTGTCTCAAAAAAAAGAAGATGCACAGATGGCAAATATGTATATAAAAAAGATGCTTTAAATGATTTTCCATTAGGAAAATGTAAAGGAAAACCATAATAAGATACCACTATTTGAATTACTAAAAATTAAAAAACTGACAATACCAAATGCTGGTGAGAATATGGAGCAACAGAAATTCTCACCCATTGCTGCTAAGAATGCAAATTGGTACAGCCACGTTGGCAGGTGCTTTGGCAATTTCTTATAAAGTTAAAGCATACAGTCCAGCAATCCTACTCCTAGATTTACCCAAGTAATTGAAACCCTGTGTTAACATAAAACCTAGACATGAATGCAGATTTATTCATAATCACCAAAAAGTGGCTATAGTTCAGATGCCCTTCAGCAGGTAAGTAGACCAGTGAACTATGCAATACTATGGAATTCTACATACAGTGGAACAGTACTCAGCAATAAAAAGGAAATGAACTACTAATACACATATAGGGATCTCAAAATAACTACGCTAAGTGAAAAAAGCAGGATATAAGTACATATTGTATAATTCAATTTATACATGTATACAACTCTAGAAAATGCAAACTAACCTAGCATAACAGAAAGGTCAGTATTTTCTTTAAAAAGCGATACTAGGGAACAATGGCAGGAAGAAAGATTATAAAGTGGCAGGAGGAAACTGTGGAGTGATGAATATGGTCACTATCTTTAGTGTGGTGACAGTTGCACAAGTGTTTACATATATCAAGACTCATCAGTTTATATTGTACAAATAGGTGCATTTTATTTTGATAAAGCTCTTTTACAAACATAAAATGTCCTGAATTGATAATGAATCTCAGGTCCAAAAAAACTACACTCCAGGGGGAGGGTGGGTGGAGGGAGGGTGATTGGTGGGAACACACCTATGGTTCATCCTATAAGGGTACATGTGAATGTGAATTTCTCTAAATGTAGAATATAAATGTCTTAACACAATAACTAAGAAAAAGACATGAAGGCTATGTTAACCAGTTGGATGAAAGTATTTCAAATTGTATACAGAGACGTGAAGGCTATGTTAACCAGTTGGATGAAAGTATTTCAAATTGTATACAGAAACAGTACACTGTACCCCATGATAGTATTAATGTATACTGCTATGATTTAATAAAAAAAAATTAAAAACAAAACAAAACTACACTCTAAGACATCAAAGAAATCCCATAGACAAAATTTTAAGAAATATGAGCTCACAAGCAAAATTTGCACAGCAATTTAGTGAATGATTGAGCCCTAGCATCCGTCAAGCCTCATCTGCCATTGTTAGCCCACACTCTTAACTTTAGATTTAAACAGTGCTACACTACATGCAGTTCCTCAAACACAGAGGTGTTATCTTACAACTTCTCCTTCAAATGTCAGTATAAATGTTGCTTTCTCAAAAAATAATAAATAGGGCAGCACCTGGGGCTCACAAGAGCAGGGCACCTCCCCATATGCCAGAGGTGGCAGGTTCAAACCCAGCCCCAACCAAAAACTGCCAAAAAAAAAAAA